CTATAAACCTGTAAAGGATCCCTGTAGCCGTGTCGTTGTTATAGTAGCGAGTTCAAGAAGGCCTCCCTACTGTAACAATAGCTATATGTCCACTCAACAGAGAAATACAAGCCAGTAATAGTTAGTGCAAACCTAGGATAAGTCTTAGAACTAAGGCTGAATTGCACAATCTAGTAAAACGGGCCAGATGGTAATTCCCAGGTTAGTATGATATGCTTAAAAATAGTTAGGATCAGAAGGTTTAAATGGGTAACTCCCCAGTTGGGTTATAGGTATGACATCTAGTGTAAAACCTGTAGGCGGACTACTTAAATAGGCACTCAAAAGGTGCATGTGTGGCTAGTTGTATCTTCATTGTAACTATAATAACAAATGATTATTAATAAAGAGTCCCCAGGCCAAAGAGGTTACCTTAACACTGAAAAAAAAAATAAAAATAAAAATAATCAAATTTAAAAAAAAAAACGAATTATACAATTCGGGTTTATTTGACCTAAATCAGATTTATTTGAAACCAATTCGGGTTCATTTGAAACATTCATTTGAAACCAATTCGAGTTCAAGTAAACCCAAGCCGGGCTCATTTGGACCTAATTCGGGTTCAAGTGAACCCAAAGCCAGGTTCAAGCTAAATTAAGCAACTAAAAAATTTAAACCGGAGCATCACCTGGGTTCTAATAAGAACTATATAAATTTAAAACCTCACTCCCGGGGCATCGCTCGGGCCCTGAGAGCTAGTTATATCATAAATGGACGATTTATTTTTATTTAAAATTTTTCAAGAATACCCAAAATTGTGATATAATAGTTATGCACTAGAAAAACGATTGTCATGTCCAGGTTTTTTTTTTTGACTTGAATGATTATTATTATGATTTTTTTTTAATCAATTATAAATTACAAGAAGGCGCTCAGAAACAGCCTTAGTTAAAAAGCTGATATAATCAAACAATTTAAAATTTATTAGTTAATTACATTCGAAAATGGTTTGTACATATTACTGTATTAGGATAATTCAAAATTTGAAAGTGCGGTACGTAGTCTCCTACGATTTGCAGTAATTGTTAAGCATATTCTTGTATTCCACAAAAAAAAAATCTGATACCAAAAAAGAGCAAAAATAGTTTAATAGATTGGAGCATTTACATATAATAATGGTCAAGCAAATAGATTTAATATTTTTAAGTAGCGATGGGAATTTCTAATTATTAACAATTGAATTGTTAACTATATAAATTTTTTAATTGTTAAATGATTTATATAGTTAACAATTTGTTAATACGTATTAGAGAAAACGAATTACATAATCACACGTGAATTAGTTATTTGGAGTCGAATTTTAAATCGGTTTGCGCCAAGCTACACCAGGTTCGACTTCCAAGTTGTTTCAGCTCAGTCATCAGGTTTGACACCGAACTTGTTTCAATTTTGACTAAATATGCTACGCTTCAGGGATACAGTTTAAAATTACGATTTTCTGACAATTATTTTCTTACTGTTAATTTTATTGAAATTATAATTATAATTACAATATGAAACAAAAAATATTAACAAAATCAGAAGCTAATAACGATTTTATATTTACAACTTATTATGTTAGAGAAAGATAACTGTTTTAAAACCTAACGCTTACCTGATTATGTTGATATAACCCACTCCATACACCTATTTTGAATTGCAGCATTAGTTATTTACGTTTAGTTATAATGTATATAATGTATATAATGTATATACAGTATACGTATACAGTACGTAGTATATATCGAATATTGTGTATTTTTTTTATTATTTTTATAGACACCCTTAACAGGTTAAAGTTTTCCTTATTGTCGAGATAGTCAGTCGATTTTACGTAATCCAGAAATCTATCAAAAATGATCAGAATATCAAAATTTTAGACTACGTTGATCACTTTTCAATACGAACAGAAAATAATTATATACGTAGCAAGGTAAGAAAAAAATTTACATACATACATACATATTATTACATATCATTTCTCATTATATAACATCATTTCAGGAGTAAGATAACAATCAAAATTCTGGTTTAGTTTAATCGATACTTTAAAGGTATTTTTAGTGTAAGAAACAAAAAAACAACATTTCAACCAGTTTTTACCATAAATACTGAAATGAGGAAAGACCAAACCATATAGATCTATGTATTGTCTCATATGTGATTCGTATTATTATCGATATTATTATTTATTACAGTATATATATCTTTTATTATCGTTATCGTTATTATATATTGTTATTTATCGTTATTACGTATTTCGGGTATTCCAGTATTCACACTTGACCTCTATTACAGTATTAACAAACAATTTATAAATAGAACTGAGTGGCTTTAGAATCAATTTTTTTTTATTCTTGTATAACCATTTTTTGTTGGTTTACTACACAAGTTTTTAATTTGCGCCAATCTTTTTATAGATTTATTAATATAATTATATGTATGATATATACCTGCTCGGATATGCGAATAATAAAATTTGCCGCATAATTATAATTCATCTATTTACTAATAAAGAATTAGTGTTACGAAAGCCCTATCGCACTAATTTTATCGGTAATTAACATGGTCTTCCCTAATTCGGTGACACGAAATTAATGCATCGATTTTCGTACACACCGTAAATTTTGGTAAAGTTCTAATTATACTATTACTTATACTTACGTATACTTTAATCAACCGTTCAATTTTATTGTTTCATTTGTAACATATATGGACAGACAAAGCATATTTTTTTATTATAGTGATCAAGTACTTTTTTTTTAAAAAAAATTTTAATATCTTTGCATTCTTTTAAAAAAAAATTATTACCTCCAAAGCTTTTACTTTTTGAATATTAAATTAAAATGAGCTACTATGGGGTAATTTTTGTATTTACTTTATCGTAAGGCCGTTATTACTCATCTATAGAATGTTAAAGTTGTTATTTTTTTTCAAATTTATAAGGGTGGTTATAAACCTGCTCCGGAGCCACATGGCTCGGGAATGAGTCCAAGTTCACCTGTTCCTTCTTTTTTTGACGAGGTTGGTAAACCATTTGGTCTAATAAAAGTCTAGAAAAAGTTTAATAGAGTTAAATACAGGAATTAATCTTTACTAAAACTCGTTCAAATTGATTGTCGAGTCTTTGGATAATTAAATTTTCAAAAGTTTCAATTTTATAATGTTTACTTAATCGAAATATTGAAGTTATTTGAAATTATATCGAAATTATATCGAAATTATTTCGAAATTATCTCGAAATTATTTCGAAATTATTTCGAAATTATTTCGAAATTATTTCGAAATTTCTCGAAATTATCTCGAAATTATTCAAATCGTAGAATTAGATTATACATGATAATAATTATGCAAATTAGAAGTATTAATTCACTTAGAAAGTGGACCTACCAATTACCTTATCCTAATTAATGTTTGTTATTGGCCATTTAGGTTTCTTCTATCCAGGATATGATTAAACTAGCCCAAGACAATATCTCACGTATAGATGAATTGCATTCTCGATCTTTGGGCACTGTTAATGAAGATGAGGCCACAAAACGTCAACTTGAATCCCTTACCGAAAATACGCGAAACATTTTAGTTCAAACAAAAGATAAAATCAGAAAGTTAGAGGCGTTAAATTTGGGGTTACCTCCTAATACCAGTGATTTAGCTGTTCGACGGGCTCAAGTAAATAGTTTTTTTTATCTTAATTAATTTATTAAAATATAAATTGGTTTATTTTTAAGTCTTTTATATCTAACTTATTTATTTGTTTCAGACGGCAAATTTACGGGAAAGATTTTTACAAACATTACAAAAATATCAAAATATTGAATATCAAAATCGTCAGAAATATAGAGCACGAATGGAAAGACAATATAAAATTGGTACATATTTTTATATTTATTATACTTGTTTGTGTTATATTATGCTTATTATTGCAATTTTACAATTTACGCAAGAATCAATAATATCTTTGAATATTAGTTAAACCTCAAGCTACACAAGAGGAAATTGATGCTGCTCTAGAAAATGATGAGGGTGGTCAATTCTTTGCACAGTCGGTATGTTATTATTTAAAATAAAATCTTTCTTAATTTTAGGTTTTGTTTTATTTTCTATTTTCTTATTTTAACTTTTTTTTAGCTACTAAATTCAACGAGATATGGCGCCGCAAAAGATGCTTTAAGAGAAGTACAAGAACGTCATGATGACATTAAAAAGATTGAGAAAACTATTGCTGTAAGTTTTGTAAATTTAATATATTTATAATTTTTCTTTAACTTTTTTAAATTAATTATTATATTTTTTGTATTTTAGGAACTTGTTAATCTTTTTCAAGAAATGCAGATGTTAGTTGAAGCACAGGATGCACCAATTGCTGCTATTGAAGAACATGCTGTTCAAGTCACTAAAGATATGGAATCTGGTGTTGCACATGTAGAAAAGGCTTTAGAGAGTGCGAAAGGTGCTAGAAAAGTATGTCAAAAAAAAAAAAAAAATTTTTTTTTTAATCAAGTTGGATTTAATTAATATTCATAATTAATATTCGTAATTAATATTCGTAACTAACATATATATTTTATAATTACAGAAAAAATGGATATGTCTTTGCATTTTAATCATCATCTTAATAATTGTGGCAGCAGTAGTTTATTTATATTTCTTCAAAGATAAAATTGGTGGTGGCAGTAATAATAATAATAATAGTCAAACCTCAAATACCACAAAAGCTAATAGTACCAGCACCACGTAATGGAGAACAATTGATAATTTAGATAATTTGTATTCTAATTTCTTGGATAGAATAAAAATAGGCAAATTCTTTGAGAGAGAGCATTCATTGTTAGGGACATTGTGAAAAAAAATTTATGCATTCAAAGCAGGGAAAAAGAGCAAAAAACATTGAACGTCGTAGTATATAATTAAGATTTCACTCTTTAGAATTTTTCTTTTTTCTTATTTATTATTTGACTTTGCTTTTTATCAAAAAAGTTTTTACGTAAAGTCTTAAATATTCATTGTCAACTTTGTAATTTTCATTAATCATTCCCTACTTTAATATTTTGTCGTTTTCCTTTTAGAATAACTTTATCTGTTGCATTTCCATCAACTTTAGTTACTACAATTACTTCCTTATAATAAACCTTCATACATTTTTTTCAATTCACATTATTATCGTTTTTTTTTATAATTTTGAATCCTAATCCTTTTGGATACCATATAACAAAAATAGATAGCACTTGTCTTCACTAATCACGCATTTTTTGCGGACTATAAAATCTTTAGAAAAAAGAAAACCATCTATATTTCTTCGTTCATTTTAATTAAATTATTATTATTATTATTTATTACATTTTTCTTTGTTGTTGTAGTATAAAGTAATGTAAAAAAAAATTACATTTTCTTTATCAATCCAATTTTTCCAGTTGATTTTTCAATTTTGAGATTTCATCATCTTTTTTATCTAAACTGTTTAATAAATGTTTAATTCGATATTTTAATTTGGAATTTTCTATTTTTAATAATTCAGTTTCTTTGTCTGATGATAATTCAGTTTTAAGTTTTGGTGAAGTTTTAGAATCTAAACCTATTAGTTATTTTTACAGTATATATATATATATATATATACATATATATATATACATATAAATATTTATATATTTATATTTATATATATTAGAAATACGTATACGTACCAAAGAAATATAATAGTATTAAAAAGTAACTACCAGAAATTATTTCGTTTAATTCTTTGACTTGTTCTTGTAAACCTTTTATAGTGATTTCGGTCGGAGTTGGTTGAGGCATTATGTTAATTTATCTATCCAAAAAAGAATTTTATACGATACGTACAAAGAGAAATTTCATAAAGAATTTACTAAAAAAAAAACAGGACAAGCGAATATTTATTTCTGTCTCATGATTGGTTAGATTATATGTGATTCACATGACATTACTAGAGTTAGTAAAAAGCCACAGTCTCTCGCGCTTTGAGACGAACTGAATTACTTAAACATGGATCAAAAATTTGTTTCCTCAACGGAAATAGAAGAAGCCAGAAAAAAGCGTGCTGAAGAATGGAAGGCTGCTTATGAAAGACTGGGAGAAAGTATATTTTATAATAAGTAGTTCGACGCAAAGGGAATATGAATTTTATGATTCATTTTTTTTTTATTTTCTTAGAACCACCAGAAATAGAAGAGGAATATGATCCTCGTACTTTATACGAGAAATTACAAGAACAAAAAATGAAAAAAGAGGAAGCTTTTCAGGAAATGACAAGATTCAGTACGTTAACTAACAAAAAAAGATAAAAAATAAAAAAAATTTTACGAATTTTATTACAAAATTAATTAGAAAATTGAACCTTGAGTGAACTTTTTCAGGTAATCTGATACATAGACTTGATGAGGATGAAATAGATTTTTTGGCAACATTGGAACATGAGCAACGTGGTAAAGAAAAAGAAAAAATGAAAAAAGTTGAACAAGAACTTGAAGAGTTTAGACGGTCGGTCATAGTTTGATCCATTCTTATTTTAAATATTATACTAATTTTAATATCTTATTTTATATTTATCAGAGCTGCTGCCAAGGCTGATGAAGAAGCGGCACCAAAACTTATAATTCAACCTGAAACGATCTCAGCAGCACCAATAAAAACTTCCGTAAAAAAAGATGCACAACGAATGATTTTGGAGGGTGCTATTAAAATTCCTTCACGTAAGAGATCACTAAATAATGATGATACTCATTCATCTAATTCTAATGAACAATCAAAAGATCAGAAACGTTCAAAACTGGATTCATCTTCAAGCAAAGAATCATCATCATCATCAACCACATCAAACAATAACATTTCTAATAATAATACTTTAGCATCTTTGTTAGCATATAGTGACAATAGCAGTAGTGATGAGAATACCAGTGATGATGAATCATAATAATATATGGTATTATCTAAAGGTAAATTAAAGTTTTTTTTTTGAACTAACTTAAAAATTATATTTTCTAATATTAATCAAGATTAATTTTATTATTATTATTATTATTATTATTTTTAATTGTAAAAAATTTTGTATTTCTAGTAATAATATTTAATAAAGTGTGTACGAAATATAATTTGATCCTCGGGAATTAGTAGAAACGAAGTTTTCGCTTATTCCTTTATGAATTAGGATATTATTCATTAATATCACTTGATCTCGATGTAGTGATACTAGATATAGCGGATAGTGATCGAGAATTAATAAAAAAAATAAGTAATAAATAAATAAATAAATAATATATAATAAATAATAATGCCGGTAATGCATAATCTATATACCGACGCTAAAGTTTTCAAACATCCACATCTGTGATCCATTGTCTAAAGTTTAGGATAGTATTAATAGTTATATTTTTACTAAAAAAATATATTTATGTTGACTGTATATAAAATATGTACAGTATGTACGTACTGGTAATTAGATTTAAATTCTTCTTAACATAAAAGAATTCATGTTTATTTTAGCGATTTGTTTTTTATTTTTTATTTTTAAAATATGCTGAATTTATCAAGAAAATTTTATAGAACAAGATATTTTTAAAAATTTTGCTTTTATCATAATAACCATTAATTGTCCTCGTATTCTTGGTGCAACATTCAAATTACCAAATTCATCTAGGATGTGATAAATTATAAATTTAATTTTAGCGTCAGCGTTAGCATTAAATAATATTGAATGCCGTTAATTGTACCGGACATATTCCGAAAGCCCGATGACAGGTTTTCCCTTGACGGTAATCATATAATCGTTATGTAGGTTCGTATAGTACGTACGTACGTACTGTATATTAGTCGTACATAGATATTATAATCTTGGGGGTCCGTCATAGGACTGGTCTGAACTTAAGAAAATCCGATCCTATTCGGTCTAATCTCAGTCTAAAAAATTAGACTAGAACCCAGACGAAAATTTTTAACCGGTTTAAGACTAATTACAAACTCATTTTGAATTCATAATAAAAAGTTGATAAATTGAATTGATAATAAAAGACCAGTCTCGGACCAGTCATTTATTATAAATCCAGTCCAAAAGTTTAGATCATTGGGTTTGAATTCATAATAATAGGGTTCCAATCCGGATAAATCCGTTATCCGTTTATCCGTATCTAATAATCCAAATATCCGGATAATCTGATAGGTATTCGGATAATTATTCGGATATCAATAGTAAATGGGTATCTGAATAACAGATAAATTCAGATCCGGATATTGTATACATAACCGGATAAATGCTTAATTGGAACTCTACATAATAAATGATAAACCCAGGCTGAAAGTTTAGACCATTGAGTTTGAATTCATAATAAAAGATTGGTTTAAAAATTAGAAACTCTAACTATAGACCAGTTTTTCAGACCGAAAGTTTAGATTGGTGTAGTCTTAGAACCAAAACCAAAAATAGTGCTTGTAGTCGATCCTTATTTATCGACTTGACTAAGTCGATATTTAAAATTCGGCTTAAATCAAAGTCGATTAATATTTTTTACCTTCAGAACTTTTCGGAGGTTTCATCAAATTTTTGTCACGACCTTGTTCGTATTTTATATTCGTTGATTTTCGGAATTTTTCGGCATCACTC